TTCCAAATTCCTTTACAATAGAAAATTTCAGTCCAGAAGTGACAACGTGGCGGCGTTGGTTACAACGGCTACAAGGAGCCTTTACGATTTTCCGGATCACGGGAAGCGCGCGTGTTCCGTATTTACTACATTATATGGGACCTAGCGCATTTGATATACTGTGTGACCAATTAGATCCGGCTGACCCGTTCTCGCAGGATTACGAGTCATTGACGGCCAAGTTGGAAGAATTCTATGATCCGGCTCCGTTGGAAATAGCGGAAAATTTTAAATTTCACCAACGACGACAAATTGAGGGCGAACAAGTACAACAATTTGCGGCTGCCCTACACAAGTTAAGTTTACATTGTAAATTTGGGAGTTACTTGAAGACAGCCCTAAGGAACCAATTGGTTTTTGGTCTTTCAAGTAAGAAGATTCAAACGAGACTTCTTGAGAAGAAGGAGTTAACGTACGAGGAAGCGGTACAGATAGCCACCACGATGGAGCTTTCGGAGAAGGGGGCAACATCTTTACAAAATGGCGCTACAAGTCCGACGGCAGGCGTGGAATATCTACAGGCTGGGAAGAAGCCATTGAAGAAATCGAAGGACAACAATAATAATCATAATTCTTTTAAAAAGAAATTAGCGATTACTAATTTTTCGAAGCAAAATAATAATAAGGCGTCGCGTTCTAATTCGAATAAGGAGAGCGCTAAATTAATTAAGTGTTTCAGATGCGGAAAAGGGCATTATGCTTCCCAATGCACGTTAAGTAGAGAAGTACGTTGCTCGGGCTGTGGAGGATCCGGACATTTGGCAAAAGTCTGTTTCAAGAAGAAGGAGTATGCAAATAATTTGGATGAGGTATTACAATTGGAGCAAGCAGAGCAACGGGATAAATTCTTTTGCGTGCTCTTAGTAAATAACAAGCGAATTCGTTTCGAAGTGGATAGTGGCTCTGCAGTCACGATCATGAATTGCGAGCAGGTACGTGCCTTATTTCCGGGTTCGACCATTTTCAGAACAAATCTTAATTTAATTTCGTATTCTAAAACAATAGTTAAAATCTTAGGATATATATCAGTTTATGTACAAGGAAATGAGACACGAAAGAAATTGAATATTTACTTAACTGAATTAGATAAAGAACCGTTATTAGGTAGGGAATGGATACGACAGTTGAAAGGTCAGCGTGGGGTGCCAGAGTTCCTCGAGTGCAAGTTATTGGAAAATATTAATTCTACGCCGCGGAATTTTCATAATCGATTACAATTAAGTTTACGTAAATTCGAGGAAATACGTGAGCCTACTTTGGCTAAGATTACGGGCATACAAGCCAGACTTACAATGAAACCGGATGCAACTCCGGTATATTTAAAGGCAAGGTCAGTACCATTTAAATTGATTCCTTTAATAGATAATGAATTAGATGAATTGGTTAAAGCGGGAATTTTTACAAAGACGGAAAACTCGGAATGGGCTACACCTATTGTTCCGGTGTTGAAAGCGAATGGCACTATTAGAATATGTGGAGATTACAAATCCACAATAAATCCTAAACTTATAATTGATGAACACCCGTTACCAACTACAAACGAACTTTTTGCTAAGTTAGCGGGTGGCGTTAAATTCTCAAAAATTGACTTACGCCAAGCTTATTTACAGTTAGAAATACACCCGGAAAATAGGAAGTTACTTACTTTAAATACGCATAGAGGACTTTACGTAGTTAATAGACTGATGTACGGTGTCGCATCAGCTCCGGCAATCTGGCAAAGAACATTGGAGCAAATATTGCAGGATATTCCTGGAGTGGCAATTTTTCTCGATGATATAGTAATTACGGGCCATTCAGAGGAGGATCACTTACATAGATTACATAGGGTGCTAGAGAGATTGCATAAGCATAACGTGCGAATCAACTTAGAGAAATCAGAGTTTTTTACACATGAAGTTAAATACTGCGGTTACTTATTACGAGAGGACGGTATACATAAAGAACCTTCTAAAATGGAAGCAATTAGGAACATGCCGCGTCCACAAAATGTTTCTGGCGTCCGAGCCTTCATCGGTATGATTAACTATTATAGTAGATTTATTAAAAATCTAAGTTCAATCTTACGACCGTTAAATAAGTTATTACATAAGAATACTCGTTTCTCGTGGTCAGAAGAACAAGAAGTAGCTTTTAAAAAAGCCAAAGAGGCATTTGTGAGCAATCAAGTCTTGGTACCTTTTGACCCGAAATTACCGGTGGTTCTCGCGACGGATGCTAGTCCCCACGGAATAGGGGCAGTACTTTCGCATACATATCCCGATGGGTCGGAAAGGGTTATACAATACGCGTCACAAACTTTATCCGATACGCAGCAAAGATACGCACAGATAGACAAAGAAGCATATAGTATAATATTCGGTATTAAGAAGTTCTATCAATATCTGTATGGAAATAAGTTTACTCTAGTTACGGACCACAGACCATTAGTACACATTTTATCTCCAAATAAAAGTTTGCCGGTTTATAGTGCAATGAGAATGCAGCATTACGCCATTTTCTTGCAAGGATTCAATTATACTATCAGGTATAGAAAATCGGAAAGTCATGCAAATGCCGATTGCCTTTCGAGATTACCGTTAAAAGAATATACAAAAAATATGGATGTAATAGATGTTTTCGAATTAAGTACACTAGAAACACTACCGGTGGATGCAAAATGCATCGAGTTGCATACACGAAAAGACACGGAGTTACAAAAACTCCTACAAGCGTTACAATCAGGCACTCTGGCACATAGCGCTGACAGATTCAATTTAGAGCAAACGGAATTCTTATTACAAGAAGGTGTAATTTTTCGAGGTCATCGGGTCGTAATACCGAAATCTTTGCAGAAAAAAATACTAGAAGAATTACATACGGGTCATTTTGGAATTAATAAAATGAAAGGTATAGCTAGAAGTTATTGTTGGTGGAAAGGAATTGACGATGATATAAAAGCTCTAGTGGAAAATTGCCAAAATTGTAATACGTTCAAAAATAATCCACAAAAAGTGGAACAACACATTTGGGAGCCATCAGCGGCACCCATGCATCGAGTCCATGCGGACTTTGCAGGTCCTTTCCTAGGACGTTGGTTTTTCATCGTAGTTGATTCATATTCAAAATGGCCCGAAGTAAGAATAGTAAAAAATCTGATGGCGAAAACAGTTATAGAGGAATGCAGGGATATATTTACAAAATACGGCATCCCACAAATTTTTGTAACCGATAACGGTAGAACATTCACATCGGCCGAGTTTAAAACATTTTTAAAACAGAATGGAGCGAAATTTAAATTTACAGCACCGTATAACCCGGCCACAAATGGCCAAGCCGAGCGTTTTGTACAGACTTTAAAAAATGCGCTACGACGCATGAAGGCGGACACGACCAATGTACGCGAAAATCTTAGTAAAATGTTACTACAGTACCGTATTGCGCCGCATGCGATGACTAAAAAGTCGCCAGCAGAACTGTTTTTAGGTAGAAAGCTTCGTACAAGACTTGACTTGTTATTTCCTTTACCTGAGAAAGAGGAGACGAGTTCCTCATATTCATGTGTTAATAAAAGTTTTAAATTGGATGAGCGAGTATCGTGTAGGAATTATGTAGGTAAAGATAAATGGAAATTCGGAAGAATTAAAAAGCGTTGCGGAATAGTGCATTACTTAATCGCGCTTGATGACGGACGAACCTGGCGAAGGCACGTTAATCAGATGCGATTAATAGGGCAGGCAACTCCGAATCAAGAAACAGACTGGGATCACGGTCCCGTGGAGGATTTGACCGTTCGAATTGAAGCGAACGCATCGGAAAATAAAACTACCGATAAAGAGCAACAGAAAGAATCGTCACAGGAGATTCAACAACAACCGCCGGATCGTTCACAGCCCCAGCAGATAGAGATCGTTCCGCAGGAGTCGATTAAGCAGCAAAAGAATGTAATCCAAAAAGGAACTATGCGGAAACCACGAGAGCCGGTTATAGGGAGCGTTGTGCGAAAATCCGATCGAATTGCGGCAAAGGGCACAATCGTCAAAGCAAAGAAATAATTCATGTTATGTTAAAACGATGTTTTTTT